TAAATTTTGGTGTTTTCATGCAATTGATAATAAAGATGGAGGAATGAAAACCGCCACAACGAAGGACCTGTGGCAGTTACTTTAACTTTGCCTGGAGGTAAGATCTCATGTGTTTTTGTCACCTTTTAATTTACAAACCGCTTTATATTTTTAATTGTCTTAAGGTTTGTACGATACAATAATGCTTACATATAAGTATTACAACGTTGGTTCAATGATATGACACTTTAGTCACAATCATGATTTACGTTGGTGTGTGACTGTTTCTATTATTTCTTAGTAAAAAGCCGAAAAGAAGAAATGTTTTACTAACATTAAAACCGTTTCTTCTTTTACAGTTGTGACGAAGGCTATAGCAACATCTATTACATATTACAAAGAGATAGAAGAAATCAAAATGATGTGCTCCCTTTGTTTAGTGATAGAAGTTTTCTTGGTATGGCATGTTTAAGTTAACATTTTTCTTGCTTTCTGCACATTTTGTACTCATTTAAGAAAATGTGTACATCATTTAGGGATGTTTATGTTTCAGTGCGTTTAAGTATGTATTTCTGTAATGGTTTCCGAGTTAATCTTTAACCTTAAAATGTTCCTTTTTAAACCTGAATAAAAAAAGCATTTCATTACACCCTCACACACAAATTTAAGAGAGTATATAGAAGACATGTCGGTAGGATGGTAACAAGATTTAGAAATGAGTTTGAAATCAAACTTAGTAAATAGCAACCTTATGTGGATATATTTTAATTAAATGAGGTTATAGCAAACTTATATTAAGATCCTGGTTGGGATTGTTTTCGGTTTCCCTTGAAGAGGGTAAATGGCACTGAAAAAAGCCAACAAATATGTGAAGCCCCCTCGGAATTGCTTTTGAGTCTCCCTTGTTAAGGTACAATTCACAGTTACTAACAATAAAAAAATTGGTTCGAGACAATAACAAGAGTTAGGAAAGAGATATTGTAATCAAACTTGGAATATAGCATGTTTATATTAAGACCAAACTTGGGTGATTTGTTCTGAACCCATGGTGTAAATATCAAGGTATCTGTTACAAAATAGAAAAAGGTCTCCGCATGATAGAGTTAACCATCACACTTTGTATATAGCAAGTTTATGTGGAGACATTGCTTGGGATTGTTTTTGACCTCAAAGGTTAATATCACTTCTACTTAAATGGAAAAGATTGTTTGCTGACGATAAACAGAGTAATCAAGTAGCAAGTTAATGAAGAGACTTAGCTTAGTATTGTTATTGGAGAACCTATTTTATTCTGGATGATGGGAGTATGACCTTAGTGATAGCTCTAGTTGTGTCGTATTGCAAAGACATCGTAATTTTCAAAGGCGCTATGAAAGTTTTTTTTTCAAATGATTAACAGCTTTTTTTCGAATAGTCACAATAAAGGCATAAAAAACAATAAATACAAATATTTGACAAAGGATGTGTTTGTGACATTGCGATAAAAAATATATTTACATGTTTCAAGGTTGCACTTTTGACCTGCTGTTGCCTTTGTAACTTAGACAAAGCAAATCAAACGCCATCAAAATTGAAGCAGACTGCATGAACAACGAATGGACCATGAACATCTAAATATTGGAAAACACATACATATGTTATATTATAATTTAAACATTTAAAATACTGATGTTTTCGAGATTCATTTTTATTGCTATATTAAAGATATGCTTATCCTTGAGTAAAGTATTGTGATCACAGAAATTATTGAAATGCATGAAATTATTACCAACTATCTAAACAAAAGAATGAACTGTGTATGGGAGGCTGTGCTCCCTTTAAAAGGTCTGAGTAAGTTGTTTTTAAAAAACAAAACAACAACCCCAAAAACAACAACAAATACAAAAAAACGCCAGCTTTTATTTTCATGACACTTATATTCATATTGTAACCAACTATCGTGTGTAGAATTTTAAACATAACATATCTTATTTGTGTTAAAGTAAACATGTCTATCTTATATTTACAAAGATACTGTGTAGCAATTATCAATATTCTTAATATGAAATGTAATCATAGTACATGTATATAATTATTTTATTAAAGAAATAATGTCTGAAAGTGACTTTGAACACAGATGGTAAAAAGTATTTCGATTAACAACTTAGGAATACTACTATAATAATCATTATTGTGAATATTCATAATTTTGTTTCATTTTATTCTTCTTTTTTGTTGTTGTCTTGAAATAAATTGAAATTGATTGTTTATAACGTTTGTTAACACCTGACCGGTTTTACATCCATTGATTATATACACTGAGCATACGTTTAAACCTCTGTAAAGATTTGCCGCATATTTTATATTCGAGTGACATTATGCTTTATTTTAGTTGCTATCAAGTTGACTTGAATAAGTAATATATTTTCAGAGATTCACTATTATTATGGTGATTGACCGATTGATAATGACAAATGTTTACGATAAAAATATAGAACTACCCAAACCGCCCACTATTTTTAAAGTTGAATGTTAACGATGCACAAATGAATATAAAAAGTGCTAATTAACATGATACCAAACCGAAAGTGGAAAACCATTATTGATTTATTATTTAATTCAGATTGCCTGGTGATGTAGAAGTCGTAGCACTTGTTGGTTCGAGGGCAGACGAACTCGTTATTTATTTCTTTATGTGTTTTGCAGCACATATAAAACAATACTTTGACTTATCTCTAATGAAATATTTTATATCCTGTCTTCTGTTTAACAACGCCTTTCATTTTAGTTATATAGCAACGGGCATTAACTGCTACCTTCTCTATTTGAATCAATGTTGCAGTGCAAAAAATTGCATGCAAAATGTTTCCATTTAAAAGTAAAATGAGGAACTTATATATTAAGGGTCAAGCTCAAGAACACTTTTATGGTTGATAAAGCTAAACAGGGTGAGCTTAACTTCTTATCAGTGTTAAAAACAGTTAATAAAATGTAACAGAAGCAAACGTATACATACATTATCACAAAATTTAAGTAAAGAATAAAAGTAAAATTCCACTTGGCTAAGCGTGTCTCGAAACAGCACCCAGTGCCCCAAATTATTAACATTTTTTTCATATCGTCCGCGTTCACTTTCAATTCCTCAAAGGTCAATTAAATTATGATCATTTCCCAGTAAAATAATTAAACTAATATTTCATTTTCTACTGAAACAATGTAAAATGAACTATGACATGACATTTCAAACATCGTGGTTAAATGACGTAATTTTAGAAACGTTACGTCAGTTTTAACGCCAGTATTTCTTAATGTCAGATATGGCGCGTGCTTCTTAATCAGCAATGTGCATTTCTTTCAGGAAATAATTTTTTTGATATATCATTTTTTTGACGTAAGCCATTAAGCTTTTAATCGACGTAAAATCTGATTTTAGTTTATACAAATTTATTTTACTTCGATAGTGTTGAAAGAATTGAACGTGCTACCCTTATCCAACGCCCACTAAGCTACTGTTTCAAACATAAAAATGTTGATTAATGTTAAGATTTGAAGTGTATATTTTATTTTGGCAATAATTGACGTTGTTATCTTTGATTGTAAAGGTCTAACACGAGGCAACCGGTACAAACGGAATATCTTGCTCGAGAGAAACTGTTAACGCCGGTAACGAGTTTTTGCTTATCAGTTTCCCGAGAGCTATATATTCCGTGATGTTACGACAGTCGGTGTTTGATTCTCTTTCTTGCATATATATCATATTGATCTTATTCCGGAAAGAAATTACAAAAGAACTATTTTCATTTTGCATTCTTTTCTTATAATTGCGTATGAATTTACGTATTGATTCATTACGGACAAACACTTGTTTTTTTGTTCTTGCAACAGGAAACACTTTCAGGGCTTACTTACGTTAAAGAATTAAACAATAAAAACATTTATTGTTTGTATTCTTAGTCAATATATTTTCCAAGTATTTTTCTTTTTCCATAATAATATGTCGTGGCTGATATATATAAATTAGAATAAACACTTTCATATAAAAGAGTAGGGAAGATATCACATCACGTGAATATTATTGTTTAACATAACGGACACTCAAAATAAGAGGAAACCATCAAGATGCAATTGATCTGAATAATGAGTGTGTGAGTTAGACGCTTGATGTTGTTGGAATATCGTCCTGCTTTATATAAAGTTAAGAAAAAACAAATAAACCGAAATGTTTTTGTCTTGTTTTATAATTGCTGTTAAAGTCGTTGATTGAAAAATGCCAGTTTTGGTCACATGGTGACTCTGAGTATATGGGATCTTACGTTGTTGAAGGAAGTTGGAAACGGATTAAAATCAGGTAAATACTAAATGAAAATTGAACGATTCTAAATGGGCTAACTTCAGTAAAAAGTAAAATTGAAACTACATGTATGTACGTGTTGAATGACCGCCATTAAATAGAATATTGCGAGAAAGAGATCATAAGACATAATTTCATAATTATCTTCACAAAACATCATTAAAAATAATGATATTGTTAAAGTGGTATGCTTCAAGTCATAATGATTCGGAACATGCATTTAAAAGTAAATGTTTGTGAAGTGAACAAAGAAGGTTATTTGCACATTGCGCAGTAATATCGTACACTAATTATTTATAAAAGTATTATTTCGTGAATCGAAACTCTCGGATTAATACTGCATGCCTCCAGATGAACAAAAATATTTCAAGGAAATCAAACTAAAAAATTGTACGGAGATTTATTAAAAGTGAAATGATTTGAGATACAAAAATGGTATTCATGTTCATTTACATTGGTTGTTAGTGCCTTTTACAATGTGTAAAACATTTTATATGTAAATTTCACAATATTTTTGTTTTTAATATTCTTTCAAATTTTTCATGAAATTAAATAAGCAAACGCCTTGTGCGATGGTGTAAGGAAATGCTGTCATAATAACTTTAACTTGTATGGTATGTGATATGTGTCTTGGAAATAAGATGACTCTTGAATGTGTACAGAAAATGATATCTCATTTTTTATTTATGTCTGTAAACGTATTTGTGGGTATTTTTGTTTACATTCATTACCTGAGTATGTAATCGAAGCCAGGCTACTTTCCCAAATTTTGATTCTTTTGGCGCGGTCTCATTTCTGGCACAGGCACGAGTATTGGATATGAGAAGGAAAAATATGACCAGATAGATGAAAAACCTTCTGTTCAATGTGTCAAACACCAGAACATAAGGAATATATATACAATTAGTAAAGAAAAGGCAGGAAAGTCTAGATTCGAGCCTACAAGCAAGGGGTTCATTTCCCTGGCCGTAAAAACAATTGTCCAGATAAAATAAAAAATATTTATCACTATTTCACATTTGTAATAAGCTTCTAAATGAGACCGACCTAAAGTTTCTAGCCTTCCTGTTCATGAAATATTTATCAGGACACGAGCGCATTCATGCTAAAAGTCACGTATTTTTATCTCAAATGAACAACAAATAAATGGAAGGATAAATTCATGTTGATGGAAAAGTTAAGTTGAAAATAACACAAATTTAATTCATTATGTATTTATGGAAAAAAATGAATTTTCTTTTTTGACATTACAATTTGAAAGATTTTCACTTTACTTTTGTATATTGGCTGAATTCAGAAGAAAGTAGTAAAAAGAAGATATCAGTGAACATACGGAAAATATGTTTCACTGCAGTGAAACATAATTTTTTACAGTAAAAATATGGAAAATGAAACAACGCATTTCATTCCATTAATTTTTCTCAATATTTCATATATAAGTATATAATAACTCCAAATATATCACTCCAAACCAAAATATTAGTTAATACGTTAGAATCTTTCATAACAGGATGTATATGTTTGTGTTTACAGCCTTTTAATGTAAAGAGTTAGTCCTCATATTTGCATGTGTTTATATTTGCTCGAAGTTATTAACATTACACCATAGAATTTGTTTAATTTTCTTTTTGATTTAATTCCTTATAATTATATCGACGCTCTAGTATTTAAAGGTTGTAAGTGCATTTTCGTGATTTTCGGGAAACTGAAAAAAAAAAAACTGTCCCAATTTATTCTTTATTTATGAAGTGTAATGAAGTGTTTTTGTATGATAAAACATTTCCTTGTGGTATGTTTTCAAGTCAAAAGTGTAGTTTATCTATTGTTATTTTCCTGATTTTAATTGATTTTGCAGTTTCGACCTTTTATTATTTTCGAAGCATGAGAGAACAATAGGCCGTAAGTACCACATACGGCCTTTTGAAATTGGCCATTTAAGTAACACAAGGTCGTAATTACACAATACAACCAAAGTTTGGATAATGTTTCAAATAATGTGCTTCAAAATTCATATAATTCATCATTTGTACTATCAAAATATGCGACCTTAGTTGTTTAGTGATTGACTGGTGGTTGTTAAGGCCTCAGGTTTCTTGCAAGTTAAAGTGGCAATCTTGCCTATTAGAAATTGAGTCTTTCATTTCCAGTATATTTCATCGAACAATTTTATCTATATCAAAAGTCAACATTTTATTTTATGACTTTATGTTTTTTAAATGACTATTTGATTTCATTGCTAAAGTAGATTTCGCGGGAAAACGGAATCACAGTGAAGGCGAAACAAATACGGAGGCAATCAGATCGAATTGCAAGAAATTACCTAAGTATATCTGAACTTAAGTTAAGTCAGACTGATTCAACAGATGATTGGTAGTGAAAAGGGTCTGATCAGAAATCTATATTTTATCTTAAATGTTGAATTTACAACATTTGAACTTTAGAACATGAGAGTATACGCAATAAGGAATAACATATCATGTTCTATTTTTTCAACTCAAATGAGTTTTAATTAAGACACTCAATACTAGTAATTGTGGCCATACTGTTCTTTTCAACATTTTGTCTTTGTTTTAGCCATGTAAAAAGTGCTCAATAAATACAATGTAGTAACTTACCATGGCATACTCATTTTCAACTTGACTGTAAGCTAATTTTGAGGTTTACATGGTAACAGCATTTTTAAAAATCCCTCATTACATTTCTTTATTGCTGCAATTGTCAGATATATATATTCAGAAATTAAAATTGGGGAATGTGATTTTAAATTCATTGTCGACTTATGTTGATAAACCAGCAATAAAAATACTAACTTTGAGGTTTATAATGATAATTATATGATTGAAAATACATTAGACTCTTCGAAATATTTGTCTTTGCTTAAAAATATATATTAATTGCCCCTTTTGGATCTAAACAAATGATTAGTTAAAACAATAATGAACTGCGCATAAATCCGATTTAATTGAAACCAAGATAGTCTTAATATTGTTGTTTTTATTACGTTAAATTCATAGAATTTGATAAAGCAAAATAATTAGATACTTCTATAACAGTTACTTTGAACTAAGGTTATGGACAGAGCCCCCAACTGTCATTCAGGGAATGTCCTCTGTCTAGGTAATTGTGATTGGCAACCCCTGAATGGTAAGAATACAAGTACATTTAAGTAAATAAAATATTTCTCTGTTGTTCATTCAGTGTAATAAGTTTTTAACTGTAATCTTATAAATAAGGCGCCTTTTCACTGAAGGGTCGCCTTTAAGGTTGATACATCAGAATTGCACCCACCGTGATTGTAAGAGAGGACTAAATGGGTTTGAATTACCCTGAATACCTAGCTTGAGTAGATGCCATGGTTTTGACCTATAATGGTGCTGAAAATTTGTTACCTATCAAATATACTCATATTGTTTACTGTACTGTGTCTCTCCAATTTCCGTTTTCGAGGATGTCAAGACCTTTTGCCGGCCAAAATTCATTTCATGCGTACTGCATGTTATAAGTTCATTTATATTTTAAGTTTCTATATACGTTCTATAAAAAGGTCGCATCTAGCATTTACGCCCCATGTTCACAGTAACATTAAACAAACTGCCTCAATATTAAAAGGACGTATCTGCCAGATAGGGCCTTATTGTAATGTAAGACTACAGTTACGACCTTATATGATTATGCTTCAAATCAAAAAATGCACATACGACCTTTACTTATTGATGTTATCTGGCTTAAATATTATGTCTAGGGGGCTGGGGACTAGACCAAATTATGCCAGACCATTTGTAGATACTGAAACTGCATCAGTCATATAAGTCCGTAAGTACCACTTACGTCCCTATATTACTAGAGCGTCGATATGACACTTTAGGTTTATTGAAACTCGGTCACGTGTCAATCAATATAACATGACATTTTCCTCGATTCTGTGTGATATTGATTTAACACTTTTCCCTTTAAACCGTGCAATGCGACGTAGATACATTTAACCTTCTTTAATTAGAAACCAATCGTTTAGGGCATTTAGGACTTTAGTCTTAAATAATGCTACACAAAACGAGAGGGCCATGATGGCCTAAATATCGCTCATTTGAATATTGATACTCCCAATGACATGGAACAAAAATATTGTAAACTATAAACAAAAGCAGATATAGATTCTTTATCTTAAACACAAAGTTCATATTTGTATCTAAAATAGTTCACATGTAACAACTGAGGTCAGTGCCTGCCATGGAATTTAATGGTAGAATAGATAATATTTGCTATGGAAGTCACTGGTTGCTATGGAATTTTACAGTTATATTTAGTCTAAGGCTGCTATGAAGTCACTTGATGCTATGAAAACTAAGCTTCACCTTCTGTAGATTAAGAGCTTTTACTATATACATAAATGGAAAAGTTTTGGCTTATCAGCAATTAATATGGTCAATATGTGTATTCCAGCATTCACCATAATAAATTGTAGAACTTTCTATATATAATATATAATAAATAAATAATAAATAAATAAATAAATAAATAAATAAATATATATATATATAAAAGCAACGGCCGCTGTGGTGTAGTGGTTACATACTGGACCGGCAATCCAGAGACCCGTGGTTCGATCCCGGCTGCGGCGTGCCGATTTTTCGTGCGATTTTTCTATGTATAATTTCACGCTCATGACTTTCTTTCTTTCATATATATATATATATATATATATATATATATATATATATATATATATATAATTTCTAATTGTAATTGGCCTTATATATTTAAGTTATTTTAACTTTATTTATTTTATGGCAAACACAGTCATTGTTTTAGTTCTTAATGTAACGTAACAAAAGTGATTAATGCATCAACTAAATATGGAATGAGCGCAGGTTGAATACTTCACTAATCATTGAATCTATACGAATATAGATGATAAGTATGCTGTGACGACATGACTCCCTCCTTCACGATAGAGCTGTCTCCCAGAACAAATATCTTCTATTTTCTTTAATTACTAATGTTTTGATCTGATTTCGATTTTATTTGAATTCTAAACCTTACATGTACTTGAAACGAATTTGTATGTCATCTAAGTCGCTGGTTAGATGAAAACTGGAGGGAAAATAATCTGCTTCATGACGAAACAGTCCATTTAAACGCTACAACTACATTTCAAACACAATTGTAACAAGTTTACATTGTTGAAGTTGTTACAATTGTGTTTGAAATGTAGTTAATGTGCCGGGCACCTAATATAAAAAATCCATAATGTAACATATACGATATTGTTTTTTAAGATACGACGAAACTCAAAAGTCATATCGAATTTCTCAAAATAAACATTGTCATGGAAATATGTTTGATGAGGTTTAAAGTAAAAGCCTTAAAAACCGTATGCTATTATTCCTTTCTTTCAATTTGATGTACAATAAATATATTGGTTAACTTCCTTCTCGTTGTGTCTTTTCAGCCACATATTTGCACAATCGCTAAAATAAAGACATTTTAAATAGACAACAAGTACACCGAAAGCTCAATGAATATTTCGTGTCACAATTGTCGCATTCATATTTCTTACTGTGTGCGTACATTTGGAATGTGCAGTCTCAGTTTGTACACAATGTGCACATTTGTACAGCTTACTACTCATCCTAAAGTTGGGATAAAAGTAAGATCATTTAGTGCCTGATGTAGCAGAAATAACTGCTAATATAAAACAGGAAAACAAGCATTGTCAAATAGTTGATTTCTATCTTTATAATGGTACCCGTTGTACCAACATCCTAAAGATCTTTTTCATCGAATGCTTTTATCATACTTTGCCCATATCATTTTTGGTTTTCGATGCATCGGAACGTATCGTTGCACCTCTATTTAACTCTAACACATTTTCAACAGAAAGGTCTCCAAACTATGATACAAGTAATTAAACAATTATTTTATCTATTCTTTCGATTGTTATTTTATTTCCAGTGTCAAGATGTTTTCCAAGTATTTCTCTTTATCCATATATATAGTATCATGTAGGGGCTGATATGCAGAATGAACACATTAATGCAAATAGAATAAGGAAGATATTACATCACGTTGGTATCATTGTTTTATTTAACGGGAACTAAATAATAACAGTATATAATTATGAGACAATTAAGTGGATGTTTGTAAAGCCCGTCCTACTTTATATAAAATTAAAGGTAACAGTAAAATGAAATAATTTTGTCTTGTTTTATGACAATTATTGCAGTTAAACTCGTTTATTGAAAATACCAGGTAGCTCTGAGTATATGACATCCTAAAATGTTGAAAGAAGTGGGAAATGGATTATAATGCGGTAATACTGAATAAAAATGAGTGATTCTGACTAAATTGGCTAATTTCAGTAAAAGTAAAATTCCAGCTACGTGTTGGATGACCCCCATTAAATATAATATTGAGAGAAAAAAATCATTAAATGCAATGCCATTATTTCTTTGAAAATTATCATTAAACATAATGTTAATATCTCGTTAAAGCAGTATGCCTCAAGATCCATGTTTATTTTTATAACAATAAGGAAAATGTATCTAAGGGTAAAATATTTTGAAATGAACAAAGGAAGCAATTTAATGCGTTGCAAACGTCACTTACAATCCACGTAAAATAGCCCCTACTGTATTATGTTATCTCATTTTAAATTTATTCCTGCAAACATAATTGTAGGTATTTTTTTGCACATTCATTACCTGAGTATGTAATGGAAGCCTGGCTACTTTCCCAAATTTGATTCTTTGGAGTTTTGTACCTGAGAAGAACAAAAATATGACCCTGTATTCATCCTCATTGTGTCACAAACCAAATAATAAAAAATATACTATAAGTTAAAAGAAGGCCGCATTCTAGCCTACGAGCAAGGGGTCCATTTTCCGGGACGTAAAAGCAGTTGTTCAGACAATTAAAAAACAATTATCACTATTTCACGACTTTTAATAAGCTTCCAAATGAGACCGACTCCAAGTCTTTATCCCTTCCGGTTCATGAAATATCTATCAGGACACGAGTGCAATAGTGCTAAAAATCACGTATCTTTTATCTAAACAGAACAAAAATATGGAAGGATAAATATTTAGAAACGTTATGTTGAAAATAAAACAAATTAAATTTGATTTTTTTACACAAATATTGTGACGTCATGATGTGAATACGTTATGATGGAGAGTGTACTACTGTTAAGTCTGTCTGTGGACTGGTTGCCTAGAATTTTTGAAATATATAATGTCTTGTGTTCGATTTCATTGCCAGCATTTACAATCTGAACTCTTTTTATTCATAAATACCTTGGCATTAACGTAGTAGACTTTGTTACTGAATCACTTTTATCCCATAATGTTTTATTTTCAAGATAGAAAATCTCACAGTTTCAGTAATTCGTGTTTTTTTATACAGCGATTGACAGTTTCCGAACTAGCAATAAGGCTATCCTTATCAGTAGAATGCGAGTTGCTTATCACACTGTATAAAACGTATATAAAATGGTTTGACTTGTGGTAGGTGTAACCATAAATTTAAATAGCTTTAGAGTCAAACAATGTGTTGAAATATAAACTGAGACGAAGCTAAGATCACAAGCTTTTAATTGATGTGATATATTTTAAAATCGGTTTAATAACGGCTACATTTGCATTGTTTTAGCATAAAAGATATTGATTTTACTCGAAAATAAGGTAAACAACTCATATTTTCTCTCTCGATATACCTCGGTAATTTACGTAGTTAATATATAGACTGTCAATGGGCGTATTGTAATTCTAAATTGTTGTAGGATAAGATGATTGTGTTTCATTCATATATCAAGCTCTTCAAAACCGGAAAAAATATAGTACATGCGCAACAATATGAAATATACGTTACTATGAATGTTTCTTTTCTTAAGATTTATTTTAAAAGTGAATAATTTATCTAATGATAAAATTTTAACGTGAGAGTGGTATTGTTAAAATGACTTAAGATTTGACGTACGATTATCGTAAGTAAAAAACTAGATAGATCATAAGAATGATAAGAGTGAAAATATCTGCTCACGTCATCTTTTTATAAACAGTCAAACATTGCTCTTATTACGTTAAAATCGTGTTACCGAATCTTAACATTGGACTTAACTGCAGTTTAAATTGCATTTACAGAAGTAACATAATGTAATTATAAAAGGATAATTACAACTTGGGTACATATAGCTTGGGCTTTTCAGCTATCAATGCAGTCAAGATGTGTATTCCTGCATAATAATAATAATAATAATAATAATAATAATAATAATAATAATAATAATAATAATAATAATAATAGTAATAATAATAATAATAATAATAATAATAATAATAATAATAAAGCTTATTAATTTTCTTGGTATGAATGCAAAACTTGACTTTATCTTATCAAAGGGAGATAATTAAGCCAGAATAAATGCACTTTTATAGTTGGTATGAAACATCTTCTAGTGGATGTTTTCCAAGTTTTCTCAAATTAGAAGATGTTTCATACCAAATATGTAAGCTCTAGCACTGTTGATTTTTTTTTTGATTTCACAAAAGATATATGAAGATATGAAAATCAATGACCCCTGGGGCGCGGTCAACTTTTTACCTAAGTCATTTCTATCAACAACCTTGATATACATCCACTAGAAGATGTTTCATGTCAAATATCTTAGCTCAAGCGTTTTTGGATTTTCACTAGAAGTTTTGTTTTACTTTTTACTATGACACCCTGCGGCGGGGCCAAGCCAAAAACCCTGCGGCGGGGCCAAGCCAAAAAAAACTAAATAAAGATTTGTATTGTGCTTATTTAACTCTATAGTGTGACCTCCTCTCCCGAGCAATGATAGTGCATGAATATTTCGGGAAAGATAAGGAGCTTGAAAATGTGACATTTATCTTGTTTATATGGTAGTTTCTGTGTCGGCCTAGCTGACATTAAGACATTTCCACAGGATCACATCATTGATCATCATACAATAACTGTATATTATACATTATTATTTATCTAAGATAAGGAAAATATTTTACCAAACAAACATTATATGCACTTCCCTTACATAAAGTACATAATAAACCCTTCTGTCATACATCATTATATTTTATATTTCACTTAAACAGTAAAGATACAAAGGTCATATGGCAATAATGGCAGTGTCTGTTTGGCTTACAAGTTAGCAACACAAAATCTTTATTTTCATTAAAGTTAAATGTTTTATATATATATGAAAATCAAATAACTTCCCAGATTTATAATGAATATAAAAAATTACTGTAGAGTTAATTTACATTGGTTGGTTTAGATTAATGTCCGTGAAGAAATATCAAAAACTACAGCTATCTAGCTCCGTGTATGTTATAAATAAAATAGATAAAATGCATGTTACAGGTTCGCAAATGTCATTTTTTTCAATTACAATGTTTGACGATCGTTAACTTTCTATGTTTTATTCATTTAACACTTTACTGAAAAAATTAGTTTAACTAGGTTGTATACATGAACACTTATTTTGGCACATACAAATACGTACTTAAAATATTCCTTTTATATAAAATATTCTTCAGTCAATGTTTAAACTGTCGAAATTGTATTTCTAGAATCTGCTTACATAATAGACAAAATCATAAGATAAAAATTCAAGAACAAGAACACGTATCTCTTCTGATTTTATTTATCAGGCCTTGGGCTTTTACAGTCTTGGAAAACTTACATTTGCATAAGCATACGTGATGGATGAACAATGTGCAAAGAAATCAATCGAAACATTCAATTTGAAAAAGATACAGAACCATTGGTTTATAGAAGCTGGCGGAAAGATGCACCATTTGGGTATTTTGAATAATGTCGACAGTGTTCATATGGACGAAAATGTTATATTCGCAGACGAGTCCATGTACCAAGTGATCGTGAAAGACAACGGTGAATTAAAAATTGACAAAATTGAAGATCTTTGCACGAGTATTGGTGAAAAAAAAGAACAACCGGATAAGGAAAAACACTCTGCGGATAATGAGGGGTATGATTCTGACTGTGATAGTGAAGGTACGTTAAATATGTTACCTTTTGTTTCAATAATAATTGATTTGAATAAAAACGTCCGGGAAAAGACTTGAGTGAGCAATAATGTGTCAACTTCAATGGTCATCAACAATATAATGCATAGTGTTTACGTTCTCCATTGACGTAAGGCACCCCTAATGAGCGCTATAAGGAACTGTAAAATCGACAACATAGGACAGTTATATGAATTTTATGACATCTTTATGAAAAGTTTAGACACAATTTACTGTATTTCATGAGCTATGGACATTTATCTGGGAAATAAAAAATTGCTACTAGGAAAGCACTTTTTAGAATTGAGGAAACTCTGAATATTTAATAATATAGTCATTATGAAATAAGTTTTCCTATTCATCATTGTAAAGAAAGAACTAATAGCAAGCATTCAGGTAACAAATCACATGAGCAAAATGATTGGTTCTACACAATATGTTGTTCGTATGTACATATATAAAAATGTTGCCCTACCCTATCCACTTTAAACACTATTTTGACCATTTTCCCATTTTCCCTATTTCCCTAGGCCTTATTCAAAGTATCTATAGAATTTACCACAATGCGGGCTGTTTTCAAAGTTTGCCTAAATTTCTAACAGTATAATGCTTGATCTAATACTTTTACCATGAGTCTTTTATTTTATTAGACTTTGAAAATATAAGGTACCATATTTGCTATTAAATTCGGCATATTTTAGCCAATAAATACCTACAATAATTATAAATTCAAAGTCAAACACTTTTTTCTTTTCATAAGGGAACTTAGAGATACTTAAATGATGTTCAAAGAAAAAAAATATAAAAGTTGGACGTTCTGTGGTTTTTACCCGCGCCTCTCAGTTTCAATGCAGTAATTCTAAACTATTTGATTATTCTTGATAGCGGAGGTGATGCATTAGGGATATATTACCTAAAGTAAGAATAACTGCATAAACATTGGCCGGTTGATGTAGTTATCAAAGTTCATGACGTCATATGCACAAAATTATCTTGTTTTCCGGGGAAATCCCAAAGGGCAGACTGTCACATCACAAGTGCATTCATCTAGATTTGCAATTAGAGGTTTATCTTAACTTTTTATACGAAATCATTACACTAAGTCTTTGGACAGTTACATACCAAACAGAACATAAAAACGATAAAGAATGATGTGTATCTCTTATGACGAATGGTTAATTTTCAAAATATTGAAATATCTACTTCTCCAGTTTTAAATCAGCATAAACGTACACAAGCACCCGCTCTTTTCCCTTGTTTCGGTCGTTATTTTATTCAAATCTGTGAATTATATCTTAAACAATATTTGACTGAATATTTGTTAATTGGATATAATTATGGAATTTTCTTATATTTTCAATTTTTTAAAGGCTAATTAGTGATATCATGTCATTTATCAATATATTTTGGTAAGCTGTGTTACAATTGTTAGATTGTTTGCTCATGTTTATCTTTACGTTTATCTGGAAAAATAGTAAATTGTAGCAATATTTTGCAAAATAATATTTACTTTAAATTACAGACGCATCTGATTTTTCTAAATATTTTCTTAAAATGGGCCAGGAGGAGAATGTATCTGATAATGAAGGTAAGAATGAGACAAAATGGTAACTAAAGAACAAACATGAATGGATATAAAATCAATATTCATCCCGATAAACTGTACAGTAGTATTTTATTTGAGACCAGTAATTTATATGTTGGGTTCAGAATCAATCTTTTTTAATCCTTTTGTAACTCGATTCACTTTTTGATTCCATATTTTAAACTTATTCAATCAATTTCTTTTTTAAAGTTTTGATATAGTGTAAACCAAATGTTGAAACTTGCTCTGGTCCCTACAAGATAATGTGTATATTATATTTTTTTTATTGCATACTTCCCGCTTGTTCAGGTCGTTATTTTATTCACATTTATGAATTATTTTTTGAAACAATATTCGATTGACTATTTGTTAATTGGATATTATTAAGAAATTTACTTATATTTTGTTTGAAAGGCTCTTTATTGATATCATGTCATTTATCATTATATTTATTTGAGCTTTGTTACTATTGTTAAATACTTGCTCATGCTTATCGTTTATCTGAGAAAATAGAACATTGTATCAATATATTGCAAAATAATATTTGCTTTAAATTACAGACGCATCTGGTTTTTCTAAATATTTTCTTAAAACGGGACAGAAGAATGTATTTCCTGAAGAAGGTAAGAATGAGACAAAAGGGTTAGAACGAACGCGAATGGATATGAAATCAACTTTCATCTCGATTAACTTCACAGTAATATTTTATTTGAGACATAAAATTTAAGATAATTTGTAAAGCAGTGAAACTTCCTGCCTGAAAAACAATACAAATATCTGGTAACATTGTAAGGATGTGATATGTAAACAATACCACTGGAAGAAAATTCTGATGGGGAACAGCAGTTTGCCTAACGGTAATATTTTCGGGTCTTATTATACTTAAAAACCAAAGAAAGATGCCCAAAATCGCAGACTACCACGTCACAAGTGCAATCATCTAGATTTGCAATTGAATAAATATCATAACTTTTTATACGAAATCACTACACTTAAACGCAGAAGATTGACACACAAAACAGAACATGACAAAACGATAAAGAATGGTGTGTATCTCTTGTGACGAATTGTTGATTTTAAAATTATTGAAAGATCTTCTTCTTCAAGTTTTAAGCAGCATTAACTGACACAATCAACCACTCTCCATGACGGGGGTTATTTGTATATTTGGTTCAATCAATCTTATTTTTATCCATTCGTTACAGCATCATGCATTCAACTTTTGATTGAATCCTGTTGATATTTCTTATAGTTCTTAGTTTCTCTATTTAATAGCATTATCAGCGTTTTTTGTGCCATGTGAAGGCTGTAAAAATCGCCTCGTACATTCAATCAGGGATGTTATATTTCCAATCCTTATCTATAGTTCAGCACGTCATTATTGTTGTGCTTTTTGTATTTTAGTTCATTCCGTTCGGCTATTATGTTGTTGGGTGATTCCAGTATTCCGCACTTGAAAACAGTTGATTCACCCTTAGAAATATGTTACGTGCTTTTTGAATGTGTCTTTTGACGTATCATCTGTGATATGTAGGATTTTTATCCTCTGATCCCCTTTTAAAATTCCATATTATGTAGTTTCGCCCATTGCTTTCCCGTTTAGGGCAAACGCATTTATTTACTTGGGGACCATATACCGCTTTTCATGGAACGGTTCTTACGTGTCACGTTGAATGTCACATGATAACCGCCATAAGTACACATCTGCAGATGTTTCTAAATTTCAAATCTTACCAGTTCATGTTAAATGTTGGATACAGCTTAAGCCGGTGCTAGAGGCCCGTGCTAGAGGATGTGGAGGTCGTTTACACTTGATAGTACCATTCTTAACAGGCTAAACAAGCCGAGCCTGCAACGTTTTCAATTTTGTCGTGTTGGGATTTGTTAAGGGATTCTTAGTTTCTCTTTTTCAGAATTAAAGCATCATGCATTCACTTATAGATTCAATCAATTTTCTCTAATTCAATCATTCTGACTTTAAAGTTTTGTAATGTGTAAACCAAAGTTTGTACCTAGATCGGGCCCCTACAAGATAATCCGTATAATTATGTCATTTATTGAATCATTCCTGATTGATCCGGTCTAAACAAAAAACTTTATTTAAATTTATGAATAATATCTTGAAACAATATTTGATTATATATTTGTTAATTGGATATTATTAAAATATTTAGTTACATTTTAATTGTTTGAAAGGCTCTTTTTTGATATCATGTCATTTATAATTATACTTGTTTAAGCTGTGTTACAATTTTTAGATTGTTTGCTAATGTTTATCTTAACGTTTATCTGAGAAAATAGTACATAGTAGCAGTGTATTGAAAAAAATATTTACTTTAAATTACAGACCAGTCTGACTTTTTGAGAAAATTTCTTAAAATGGGCCTGGAGGAGTATGTTTCTGATGAAGAAGGTAAGAATGAGACAAAAGGGAAAGAATAAACCCAAATGGATATGAAATTAACAACTTTCATCTCGATTAACTTCACAGTAGTATTTTATTTGGGACATAAAATTTCATATATCTTGTAAAGCAATAAAACTTCCGGCCTGAAAAACAATACCCATATCTAGTAATACTGTAGCTTTATCATATGTAAACAACACAACGTGTAGAGTTATTGATGGGAAACAGCAGTTTATATAAAGGAATTATTTTTGAGTTTTATTATACTTAAACGCCTATTTACAAAGAAAGACACCCGAAAGTACAGGCTTTCATTTCACAGGTGCAATCATCTAGATTTGCAATTGAAAAAATATCTTAACTTTTGAAACAAACTCATAACACTTAGACGTGGGATAGTTACACACCAAACAGAACACGAGAAAACGATAAAAACAATATGTATCTCTTGTGACAATTGACTGATTTTCAAATTATTGTAATATTTACTTCTCCTGTTTTTAAGCAGCATAAATTTTCACAAGCATCTACTTTCAATGACTGTGTTAATTTATATATTTTGTTCAGAATGTAACTTTTTTATCCATTCGTTATTCGTTCACTTTTAATTTCAATCATTTTTAACTGATTTAATTAATTTCCTTTAAGTTTTGATGTAATTTAAACCAAATATTGTAACTTACTCGTGCCCCTACACGAAAATCTATATATGGCATTAATTGCATACTTCTCGCTTGTTCCTTATTCACATCTATGAATTACGAGTATATCTTGAAACAATATTTGATTGAATATTTGTAAATAGGATATTATTAAAGAATTTACTAATATTTTCAATTGCTTGAAAGGATCTTTAGTGTGATATCATGTCATTTATCATCATACTTGTTTAAGCTGTGATACAATTGTTAGATGTTTGCTAATGTTTATCTTAACGTTTATCTGAGAAAATAAAACATTGTAGCAATATTTTGGAAATAATATTTTCCTTAAATTACAGACGCATCTGATTATTCTAAATATTTTCTCAAAATGGGCCAGGAGGAGAATGTTTCTGATGAAGAAGGTCCAAATGCGAAAGGATATGAAATCAACATTCATCTCGATAAACTTCACAGTAAGTAGTATTTTTTGAGACATAAAATTTCAGACATCTTGCCTGAAAAACAATACACATATCTGGTAAAACTAGCTAAATCATATGTAAACAATGCCACGTGAAGAGTATTGATTGGAAACAGCAGTTTTCATGAAGTTTTCATTATATTTTCAATTGTTTGAAAGGCTCTAAAGTGATATCATGCCAATTATAATTTAATTCCATTAATGTTGTTACAATTGTTAGATGTTTGCTCATGTTTATCTTAACGTTTTCATATAAACGTTAATTTTAACCATTCAGTGGTGCTATATCAGTCAAATATATTTCATATTTTTTAAAAATAAATATGAAATATAAATATGAAAGTTGGCGGAGTCAAAACTTATATTTATTTGAAGGGACTTCTTTCGCCATTTGTTTGAAAAATCTGATAAATACAAAACAACTTTTGCTGAAACTTGTTTTGAAAACTATCTAGAATGAAAGAAAAGGTTCTAAGTAAGAAAGTTAATCCGAACACGAATATCTTTAATTCAGTCACTAACGATGTACAGACGTTTAAAGAGTTGTTTACGTAAATAAAAAGGTTATTTTTTTCGTTTTTCGTGAAATATGGTATATATTTTTACTCAACATGATAAAATGCCAAATATTTTCACTCGCCGTCCCGGTTCGTGAAAATATGTGGCATTTTATCATGTTTCGTGAAAATATATTCCATATTTCACTCAAGCGAAAAAATATCCTCTTAATATTTCATTGTAGCAATATATTGAAAAATCATATTTACTTCAAATTACAGAAGCGTCTGATTATTCTGAATATTTTCTCAAAATAGGCCAGGGAGCGAATGCATCTGAAGAAAAAGGTAAGAATAAGGCAAAAGGGTTAGAACAAATACAAATGGATATGAAATCAATATTCATCTCGATTAACTTAAAATAGTATTTTATTAAATTTCAAATATCTTGTAAAGCAGTGAAACTTCCTGCCTAAAAAACAATACACATATCTTGTAACACTGTACCTATATCATATATAAACAAACCATGTGTAGAGTATTTTGATGGGAAACAGCATTTTACATAAAGGAATTATTTTCGGGTCTTATTATATTTAAAAGCCCATTAATAAAGAAAGCAACCCGAAATGGTATACTTCACTTCACAAGTAGAATAATCTAGATTTACATTTGAAAACATATCTTAACTTTATGATACGAAATAATTACACTTAGACGTGGGAAAGTTACACACAAAATATAACAAGAAAAACAACAAATAACAATGTGTATCTCTTGTGTTTTCAAATTACTGAAATATCCTCTTCTCCATTTTTTAAGCAGCATAAACTTACAGAAGCACCCGCTCTAAATGACTGTGTTAATTTATATATTGGGTTCAGAATTTATCTTTTTTTTCATCCATTCATTACTCGATTTACATTTTGATTCTATTATTTTTTATCTGATTTAATCAAATTCTTTTAAGTTTTGATAAAGTGTAAACCAAACGTTGTAACTTGCTCGAGTCCCTACAACATAATCTCTTTATGGCAATTATTGCATAATTCCCGCTTGTTCTGGTCGTTATTTTATTCACATCTATGAATAACGAGTATATCTTGAAACAATATTTGATTGAATATTTGTTGATTTGATATTTTTAAAGAATTTCCTGATATTTTCAATTGTTTGAAAGGTTCTTTAGAGATATCATGTCATTATCATTATTTTGATTAAGCTGTGATACAATTGTAAGATGATTTCTCATGCTTATCTTAACGTTTATCTGAGAAAATTTTACATTGTAGCAATATATTGCAAAATAATATTTACTTTACATCACAGATGCATCTGGTTTTTCTAAACATTTTCTTAAAATGGTCCAAGAGGAGAATATATCTGATGAAGAAGGTAAGAATAAGACAAAAGGGTTAAAACGAACGCGAATTAATATGAAATCAATATTCATCTCGATTAACTTCACAGTAGTAAATTATTTGAAACATAAAATTTAAGATAATTTGTAAAGCAGTGAAACTTCCTGCTTGTAAAACAATAATCATATCAGGTAACATTGTAAGTACACGATATTTAAATAATAGCACGTGTAAAGTATTTTGATGGGGAAAAGCAGTTTACATAAAGGAATTATTTTCGGGTCCTATTTTACAAAGAAGGAAAACCGAAAGCGCAAACTATCCCTTCACAAGTGCAATCATCTAGAATTGTAATTGAATAAATATCATATTCTTTACACGAAATCATTACTCTTAGACGCGGGAAATTGACACACCATACAGAACATGAGAAAACGATAAAGAATGGTGTGTATCTTTTGTGACGAATGTTGATTTTAAAATTATTGAAAGATCTTCTTCAGTTTTTAAGCAGCACAAACTAACACAATCACCCTCTCCATGACGGTGGTTATTTGTATACTGGGTTCAATCAACCTTTTTTATCCATTTGGTATAGCATCATGCAGGCACCTTTTAATTGAATCGTGTTGAGGTTACTTATAGGTCTTATTTTCTCTATTTAATCAGCGTTGTTTGTGCCAGGTGGATTCTGTAAAAATTCGCCTCGTACATTCAATCAGGGATGTTATATTTCCAATCCTTATCTATAGTTCGGCACGTTATTATTGTTGTGCTTTTGGTATTTTAGTTCATTCCATTTGGCTATTTTCTTGTTGGGGTTTTCCGGTATTCCTCACTTAAAAACTATTAATTCACCTTTAGGATATGTTTACCTGTGTCTTTTGACGTATTATCTTTGATATGCAGGATTTTTAACCTCTGATCCCCTTTTAAAATTCAATCCATATAGTTCCGCCCATTGTTTTCCCGATTAGGGCAAACGTATTTATGTACTTAGGGACCATATGCCGCCCGCTTTTCATGGAATGGTTCTTACGTGTCACATTGACAGTGACATGATAACCGCAATATGTACACATCTGCGGATGTTTCTAAATTCCAAATCTTACCAATTTATTCATGATAATGTTAAATACAACTTAAGCCGGTACTAGAGGGCATGGACGGTCGTTTGCACTTGAGAACAGGCTAAATCAAGCCGAGCCTGCATTATTTTTAATTTTGTCGTGTTGGGCTTTGTTTAGGGATTCTTATTTTCTCTATTTCAGAATCAAAGCATCATCCATTCACTAATTGATTTAATGGAATTCATCTGATTCATTCATTCTGACTTTAAGATTTTGATAAAGTGTAAACCGATCGTATCTTGATCTGGACCTTCAAGATAATCTGTATGATTATTTCATTTATTGAATCATTCCCGCTTGTTCCGGTCTATACTGTATTTACATGTATGAATAATATCTTTAAACACTATTTGAATGTATATTTGTTAATTGGATATTATTTAGAAATTTACTTATATTTTTATTGTTTTCATGTCATTTATCATTAAATTTATGTAAACTGTGTTACAATTGTTAGATGTTTGCTCTTTTTTTATTTTAACGCTTATCTGATAAAATAGTACATTGAAGCAATATACTAGTATTGAAAATGATATTATTTTAAATTACAGACGCACCTGATTTATTAAAATATTTTCTTAAAATGGACCAGGAGGAAAATGATTCTGATGAAGAAGGTAAGAAAGAAACAAAATGGTTAGAATAACCCAAATTATGAAATTAATAAGTATCACGAGAAACTTCACAGTAGTATTTTATTTGAGACTTATAATTTCAGATATCTTGTAAAGTAGTGAAACTTTCTGCATGGAAACAATACACATATATAGTAACACTGTAACTATATCATATATAAACAATACCACGTGTAGAGTTATTGATGGGAAAAATAAGATTACATACAGGAATTATTTTCGGCACTTATTTTACTGAAAAGCCCAATAACAAAAAGAAATCGAAAGTGCAGACTTTCATTTTACATGTGCAATCATTTAGATTTGCAATTAAAAAATATCTTAACATTTGAAACGAAATCATCACACTAAGACGTGGGAAAGTTACACGCCAAACAGAACACGAGAAAACGATAAAGAACGATGTGTATTCCTAGTGACAATTGACTGATTTTCAAACTATTGAAATATTAAATTCTCCAGTTTTTAAGCAGCATAAACTTACACAAGCACCCACTCTCCATGACTATATAATTTATATATTTACTTCAGAATGTCACTTTTTTATCCATTTGTTACTCGATTCACTTTTTGATTTAATCATTTTGAACTGATTTTATCAATTTGTTTTTTAGTTTTGATATAATGTTAACCAAATGTTGTAACTTGCTCGGCCCCCCCTACAAGATAATCTGTATATGGCATTTATTGCATATGTCTCGCTTGTTCCGGTCGTTATTTTATTCACATCTATGAATTACGAGTATATCTTGAAACAATATTTGATTGAATATTTGTTAATTGGATATACATTGTAATTAAGGAATTTACTTATATTTTCAATTGTTTGAAAGGCTATTTCGTGATATCATGTCGTTTATCATAATAATTTATTAAGCTATGATACAGTTGTCAGATGTTTGCTCATGTTTATCTTAATGTTTGTCTGAGAAAATCGTACATTAGAGCAATATATTAAAAAGTAATATTTACTTTAAATTACAGACGAATCTGTTTATTCTGACTATGTCCTTAAAATGGGCCAGGAGGAGATTGTATCTGATGTAGAAGGTAAGAACGAGACAGCAGTGTTAGAACAAATTAGAATTAGTATAAAATAAATATTCACTTCGATTAACAACTTCGCAGTAGTATTTTATTTGAGACATAAAACTTCAGATATCTTGTAAAGCAGTGAAACTTCCTGCCTGAAAAAACAATACACATATCTTGTAACACTGTATCTATATCACGTATAAACAATTCCACGTGTAGAGTATTGTGATGGGAAACAGCATTTTACATAAAGGATTTATTTTCGGGTCTTATTATACTTAAAAGCCCATTAATAAAGAAAGACACCGGAAAAGGCAGACTTCACTTCATAAGTAGAATAATCTAGATTTACAATGGAAAACATATCTTAACTTTATGATAATAAATAATAACACTTAGACGTGGGAAAGTTACACACGAAACATAACAAGAAAAACAACAAATAACAATGTGTATCTCTTGTGACGAACGGTTAGTTATATCATGTCATTATCACTATATTTGATTAAGCTGTGTTAGCAATATATTGCAAAATAATATTTACTTTACATTACAGATGCATCTGGTTTTTCTAAACATTTTCTTAAAATGTTCCAAGAGGAGAATACATCTGATGAAGAAGGTAAGAATGAGACACAAAAGTTAGAACGAACGCGAATGAATATGAAATCAATATTCATTTCGATTAACTTCACAGAAGTTGATAATTTGAAACAAAACAAATTAAGATAATTTTTGTAAAGCAGTGAAACTTCCTGCTTGAAAAACAATACACATATCTGGTAATATTGTAAGTACATAATATTTAAATAATACCACGTGTAAAGTATTTTGATGGGGAACAGCAGTTTACATAAAGGAATTATTTTCGGGTCCTATTTTACAAACAAAGAAAACCGAAAGCGCAGACTATCACTTCACAAGTGCAATCATTGAATAAATATCATATTTTCATACGAAATCATTACTCCTAGACGCGGGAAATTGACACACCAAACAGAACATGAGAAAACCATAAAGAATGGTGTGTATCTTTTGTGACGAATGCTTGATTTTAAATTTATTGAAAGATCTCCTTCTTCAGATTTTAAGCAGCACAAACTAACACAATCACCCGCTCTCCATGCCGGTGGTTATTTGTATTCTGGGTTCAATCAACCTTTTTTATCCATTTGGTACAGCATCATGCAGGTACCTTTTAATCGAATCGTGTTGAGGTTACTTATAGGTGTTATCATCTCTAATTGATCGCATCTTCAGAGTTGTTTGTGCCAGGTGGATTCTGTAAAAAGTCGCTTCGTACATTCAATCAGGGATGCTATATTTCCAATTCTTATCTATAGTTCAGCACGTCATTGTTGTTGTGCTTTTGGTATTTTAGTTCTTTCCATTTGGCTATTTTCTTGTTGGGTGGTTCCAGTTTTGCTCACTTGAAAACTGTTGATTTACCCTAAGGATATGCTGCGTGATTTTTGAATGTGTCTTTTGACGTATTATCTGTGATATGTAGGATTTTTAACCTATGATCCCCTTTTAAAATTCAATTATATAGAGTTCCGCCCATTGTTTTCCCGTTTAGGGCAAACGCATTTATTCACTTTAGACCATATGCCGCTTTTCATGGAATGTTTCTTGCCTGTCACTAACATTGAAGGTTACATGGTAACCGCCATATGTACACATTTGCGGATGTTTCTAATTTCCAAATCTTACCAGTTCATGTTAAATGATGAATGCAACTTAAGCTGGTACTGTCGTTTACACTTGATAGTACCATTCTTAATAGGCTTCAACAAGCCGACCCCGCAACATTTTCAATTTTTTTTCGTGTTGGGCTTTGTTAAGGACCATATGCCGCTTTTAATGGAAAGGTTCAAACGTGTCACAATTAAGGTTCCATGATAACCGCCATTTGAGCACATCTGCAGATGTTTCAAAATTCCAAATTTTTAATATGAATGCAGTTTAAGCCGGTGCTAGAGTGCGTGGACGGTTGTTAACACTTGAAAGTACCATTCTTAAACAGGCTTAATCAAACCGAGCCTGCAACATTTTCAATTTTGTCGTGTTGGGCTTTGTTTAGGGATTCTTATTTTCTCTATTTCAGAATCAAAGCACCATGCATTCATTTATTGATTAAATCAATTTTATCTGATTCAATCATTCTGACTTTAAGGTTTTGATAAAGTGTAAACCAAATTTGGTAACTTGATCGTTTCCTTACAAGAAAATCTGATAATTATGTCATTTTTGAACAATTCCCTCTTGTTCCTGTCGTTATTTTATTCACATGTATGAACTTTATCTTGAAAAATATTTGATTGAATATTTGTTAATAGGATATTCTTAAGAAAGTAACTTATATTTTTCAATTGTTTGAAAGGCTCTATAGTGATATCATGTTATTTATCATTATGTTTGAGTAAGTTGTGTTACAATTGTTAGATGTTTGCTCATGTTTATCTTTACGTTTATCTGAGAAAATATTACATTGTCGAAATATATTGAAAGATAATGTTAACTTTACATTACAGACGCATCTGATTATTCTAAATATTTTCTCAAAATCGGCCAGAAGGAGAATGTATCTGATGAAAATGGTAAGAATGAGTCAAAAGGGCTAAAACAAACGCGAATGGATATGAAATCAACATTCATCTCGATAAACTTCACAGTCGTATATTATTTGAGACAGAAAATTTCAGTTATTTTGTAAAGCAGCGAAACTTCTTGCCTGAAAAACAATACATACCACGTGTATAGTATTTTGATAGGGAACCAGCATGTTACATAAAGGAATTATGTTCGGGTCTTATTATACTTAAAAGCACATTAATTAAGAAAGAAACACGAAAAGGCAGACTTCACTTCACAAGTGAAATCATCTAGAATTGCAATTAAAATATATCTTAACTTCTTGATACACCATTTATTGCATAATTCTCGTTTATTCTGGTCGTTATGTTATTCACATGTTTGCATTGTAACCTAAGCAGTATTTTATTAAATAATTGCTAATTTAATGTTGTAAGGAAATTAATGATATTTTCAATTGTTTGAAATGCCCTTTAGTGATATCATGCCATATATTATTATATTTAATTAAGCTGTGTTACAATTGATAGATGTTTGCTTATGTTTATATTTAAGGTTTTGGGAGAAAATAGTACTTTGTAGCAATATATTGCAAAATTATGTTAACCTTAAATTACAGACGCATCAGATTACTCTGAAGATATACCTGAGATAGGCCAGGAGGATTTTGTACCTGAAAAAGGTAAGAATGAGACAAAAATATAAACAAACGCGTAATCATTGAATTGAAATGATATTTAAAAAGTGGATAAATCAGTACTTATCCCAATAAACTTCATATTTGGTAATTCGGTTCTTGAACGTCGCTAAAATTAGTGTACGGTAGTGATTGTTAGAAAATCAAACGTCTGTAGGATTCTCTTGTAAAAATGTTATAATTTTGTTGTTAAAATATATATTATAGTTAATTTCAAAGTATAAAGTAGCAAAACAGTTATTCTATGAATGTTTATGGAACCGTAATCTGTTATCCCTTGATATCAGGCTTGACATTTGGAACTGTTGCCCTCTGCCTATGGTCTCTGGAAACAGTTAAATATGTCATCCCTGATACCTTGGGGAAACAGTGTTGACTGGTCAACAAATACCCTTGAAATAGGTGTATGCTGCTTTTAAGATGTCATTTATTTTCTAGTGAATAGTTTATAAAACATAAGAAGTATTAACATTAACATTAACATAAGAGCTATAAATGGCCATGGTATTGTCCAAAATAATGAGGCTACAATAACGCTCACCAAACCTGGAAAATCATGTGCACACTGAAAGACAGCAAATAAAAAAAATCCCGAACTTTAATGGTACACTCAGTAGTAAATCATGCTTAGTTTTCATACACACTAGTATTATATGGTTACTGATGTGTTCAATTTATATAAATTTCAAAATTGTACATTTAAAAAACACAACTGTTTTCTATTTTTCCAGAAAAATATCTTGCAGTGGTACGAAATTCTATGCAAAAAAACAACAAAAACAAAAAAAACTCACAACTAACCTATGCAAATAAAAGCAGTTTTACTTTGTCCGAGTATCATATTTTTAAGACACTTGTTATTTCTCAAAACATTTCTAAATCTTGTTATTGTTACATAATTTCAGAACAATAATCATTTGTCACATAGAGGAACACTCTTTTGCTTTTCTGGCTTGTTGGTATTTAGTCTATTTATAGTGAATAAGTGTTTTGTATGGCTGTCAAAGCACTTTTTTGACTATATTTGCTACATTTTATTTCTGACTTCAGTTAACCCCTGTCGAAGCAAAGTGGCATCCCATTCATGAATAGAATAGGGATGTAATTCTGTCACCACAACATGGTGCTGTTAAAGCAACACAGTAACCACAGTCAGTATTGTTGTGTCCTGAGATAATAATAATATTCATGGGATAATAAAAATGAGAAATGTTCAGTAATGTTGTAGGAAAATTCGATAACTAATGTTTTAAAATTCTGATCTAGAACCGGAGAAGACAAAGAGATTTGCTGCATATTATTTATTTTTTCCAAACTAGTGCTATCTGACAGAGAAGCACCTTTCACTATTCATAGTAAATTCATGTCTGTTAGAAAGAGAGGTTTGTCTTCAAAGAATGCTTTGTGGATTAGTAACATAACGTTTCTAAGGACTTGAGCAGGGTCAATCAAACCGAGCCTGCAAAATTTTCATGCTTGTTGTTTAGAACGTTCTTAAGGGATTCTTCCCCCCATATTGTGGTGATGCAATAATACTAGAATCAATCAAGATTTGCTTTTAAGTTTTTCTTCTTGCCTTTAACTTAGAAGTAAACATTACTTCACTATGTGTCCCTTTTATGATATACTCTGATATTTAAAAGCTCATTTTTTTAAATTTCTTTATTTCTATATTAAAGACGCATCAGGCACTGATCAACAGCTGGAAATGGGATCCGAAGAGATAGATATTGAAAGAAAAAGTAAGTTCCCGAGGCAAAAATTAAATGCTTTTATCTGCAACAGTTGGATTTTCTTGTTAATAATTATTTCATAGTTATAATCGCTTTGCTACATCATTTACTAAAACTGTATCTATATGAAACATCTTGGCATTCACAAAATTGACAAAATTCACACTTTAATGATACGATAGAACATATTTACTTTCTGACACAATGACGTTAATTGTTAACAATATCATTTATTATTTACCGTTTAGCGTATTTCGTTTAGCGTTTATCATTTTACGTGCGTCTGCGTATTTCGTTTGGTAAAGTGCGTGTAACGGTCGTTCGTATAGCGTGTAAAGTGTGTGCGTATTTTCAAGAGCGTGCGTTTTTGTGTAAACTGAAACGTTCATCCTACTGTTACACAAGCACCCGCTCTGCATGACTGTGATAAATTGTAAATTGGGTCCAGAATCAATCTTTTGACCTCAATTCGTTTCTCGATTCACCTTTTGATGCAATCATTTTTATCTGATTTAATCAATTTCTTTCAAGTTTTGATATTATAGTGAAAACCAAATGTTGTAACTTGCTCCAGTCCTTACAAGATAATCCCTATATGTCATTTATTCTCGCTTGTTCTGGTGTTTATTTTCATTCACATGTATGCATTATACCCTTTAACAATATTTGAATAGTTGTTAATTGAATATCATAAGGGCGTAAACTTATATTTTCAATTGTTTGAAATGCTCTTTAAAGATATGATGCCATATGTAATTATATTTTAGTAAACTAGTGAATAGTTTATTAAACATCAGAATTATAAACATACCATTAACATAAAAGTAATAAATTACAATGGTATTGTACAAAATAATGAGGCTACCAATAACGCTTACCAACCTGAAAACGCATATGCAAATAAAATAATCCTGAACTTTACTGGTACTTTCAGACGAAGATTATGTTAAGTTTTCTTGTAGTAATATGATTATTGATGTTCAATTTATATAAATTTCAAAATTTCATTTTTTTTCTTTTGCATATTCATATAGTATAAAATAATGTGTATATGAATACGGACACTCATGTGTACATTGAAAGACACCAAATCCCGAACTTTAGTGGTAGTATCAGTAGTAGCTCATGTTAAGTTTCAAAACTCTCTAGTATTATATGGTTATTGACATGTTCAATTTATACAAATTTCAAAATTTCCATTAATTTCTTGCCATCTTATAAAGTATATAATAATGTGTACATGAATACGTAAGTGAATTGCACATTTACAAAACACGACTGTTTTTTAGAAACATACTTGCAGTGTTACGAAATTCTATGCAAAAAACTCCGAAGTAACCTATGCAAATAAAAGCAGTTTAAATTTGTCCCAGTATCATGTTTTTGAAGATACTTCTTGTTATTGCTCAAAACATGCTTAATTCCTATAATTGTTACACAATTCAAGAATTCCGGAAAAAATATTCATTTGTCACATAGAGGAACTCTCTTTTGATTTTCTGGCATGTTGGCATTTTGTCTATTTATAGTGAATAAGTGTTTTGTATGGCGGTCAACGTACTATTTTGGTTATATTTTGCTACCTTCTATTTTTGACTTCAGTTAAATATATTGAGGTTATATTTCAGTCCCCTGTCGAAGCAAGGAGATGAAAAGAAACCATTTATTCGAACTTATTAAATGGCATCCTATTCAGCAGCACAGCAACAATAATCAGTATTGTTGTGTCCTAAGATAATAATAAAATTCATCGGATAATAAAAGTGATGAATGTTCAGTAAAGTTTAAGGAAAATTCTATAACAAATGTTAAATATTTCTGATCTAGGACCGGAGAAGACAAAGTGAGTTGCTGCATATTATTTATATTTTCCAAACTCGTGTTATCTGACAGAGAAGCACCTCTCACTTTTCATAGTAACTTTATGTCTGTTAGAAGACTTGTCTTCAAATAAGGCTTTGTCGATCAGAAAAAAGGACATTCAATTTTTGTAGCTGAAAACAAAAAACTTGAAACATGTCTTTATGTCACAAATGAACGTCGTTTAAAAGTTGTATAAAGAGCCAATTTCTAAGTTACTTAACAGGCTCAATCATACCAATTAAATATGATAAACAAGATCAACAAGGAAAGGCAGCGTTCAATAAACGCAAACCCCACACGACCCAGCAACAAGAACCAGCGACAAGGAACCCATGCGTATCCCAAACAAAACCAGGACAGGGCACAAGGCAGAGCAAGGACAGGTTAATCACTAAAACGATAAACAATCTGCAACCGATAAGGAATTTTCAGAAAACAAATAGAGGATTGAATAATAGAAAGTAATTTGTAACTGATAACAAATTCAAAGAAAACAAACAAATAAATGATTGAATAATAGGTCTACAAAGTCAAAGGGCACAGGGAAAGGGGACAGTAGACCAAGGAAAGAAAGGGAGGGGGTGGTAAATTAAAGAAATAAAACTAGGGGAAAGGGCAAGATACCTACAGTAGACGAGAAAACAACAAGGGGCACAAGCAAAAGTGTCGCAAAAACAGTATGAAACAACATAGACATATATCTGAAGAACGCAGGGGGGCGCCGCCTTGGAACGGCAAGCAGCACTATTACTGCTGTGGAGGTCTAACTGGCAAATGGTGCACAAAACCTTACTCTTAGCCCCATCGTGTTTCTATAAACGAGACAGTGTAAATAAAATGAATCCCGCCAAGTGAAATTCTAACAGTTGTTATGGTTATAAAAGTTAAATAAGTATAACACACAAATGATCATATAGAAACATATAAAAGTAAACCCAATGACCATAACAAAAGTTCTAATGTTCAAAAGGAAGACAGAGCAACAAGAAAATTACCTACAAGGGCACGACGAAGCAAGATAGAAGACGAACATTAAGACAATTAAGTCCCAAAGGGCTTTAAGAACCGTCCATCATAGAGTTTTCCAATTGGTCTATCAGATGTAATCAAAAGAAGAAAGCGTAATGTCCAACTGTACAAGGGTTGGACACTAAACATGCAGTATGTCTTAAAATAGTAGGGTCATAAACACTTTTAATAAAACGATTAATGATTTTAGTAAAAACAGCAGAAAAATTACCATGACCAAAAACTTTACGAAGTTTCAATTTTGGCCGCGTTTGGCTTTCTATTGGGGTTCTTATTTTCTCTATTTTGTAAATCACATCGCCATAAAAACCAGACTGGCCAATCCTTCGTCGCAGAAGAGTTTTTAAATCACTATTGCACGTTAAAATTAACCAAAACTAGACCTATTTTGAAGGTGATTAATACCCCCACAAGCAACTTTGACATCTTGAAAATAAGTATTCTGAAAAAAAAAATTGAACACAAACTATCAACTGTGTACAAAGAAATATTTCAATTGATTGTAACCGTATGTTGGGTCTCCAAATAAGCTTGCTATACAAAAGGTTTGATTACGATATCTCATTCCTAGTAATAGAAAGAGCACCGAAACACGAGGTTATCTGATTTGTACGAGGGGGCGTAGCCCCCGAGTATTAATCAGATTACCGAGTGTTTTGGTGTTCTTTCTCTTTTGTATCATAGTCAAACATAAAAACACGTTCCCTGTTGTCACAATATGAAACCCCGGCAAAAATGAACCAATGAACGAACATCTGAATATGATATTTCTGTCGCTTTCCCTTTCTTTGCTGTCACAATATGTAAACCCCAGCAAAAATGAGCCAATCAATGGGCATGCTCTGGAGTGCGGGTAACTAATACCTGCACTCCAGTTAACGCACTGTGCATGTATATGTATACGATTTAACCCTGACACATTTTCAACAGAAAGGTCTCCGAACTATGATACAAACTCCAGTTATTGTTTAGAAACCATTTGTCTTTTTTTTTTTATAACAGTGACCTTGATCTTGACCCCAGGAGGTCCAAAATAAATACTCGCCGGGGTCTTTATATAATCTTACTATACACCAAGTATGAAAGCAATATCTCATTCTTAACTCTAGATATTGTCCAGAAACTATTTTTCTATTTTTACTAACACTGTAACGGTGACCTTGACCCTAGGGGGTCCAAATGCAATACCAACCCAGGTCTTCATATAAGCTTCATATACACCAAATTCGATTACAATATCTCATTCCTTACTCTAGTAATTTTCCGGAAACCATTTTTCTATTTTAGTAACGGTGACCTTGACCCCAGGGGGCCCAAATACAATACCAATCCAGGTCTTCATATAAGCTGGCTTTACGCCAAGTTTGATAACAATATCTCATTCATAGCACTAGTTATTGTCCGTAAAACCATTGTTCTATTTTTAGTAACGGTGACATTGACATTGACCACAGGGGGTCCAAATGCAATACAAACCGGAGTTTCCACATAAGGTTGCTATCTACGAAGTTTGATTACAATACGTCATTCCAAACTCTAGTTATCGTCCGGAAACCATGGTGTGGACCGACCGACCGACCGACCGACAAGCTGACTCCTTTATAACCCCCCCCCCCCAAAAAAAAAACTTCATCTGTGGGGGTATAATTACGATTGTAAAATTTTGTAAAATATTTCCGTAATTTATGATAGTAGTAGCCCTGTTAAAGAAGCTTGCTGGTAATCAAAATATTCGGCTCGTTGAAATCCTTAACGTTGCTACAAGCTCTAGCAAATCCGACTAACTGAGAAACATATACTCCGTAAGATATCAAATGGGATACGTCTCCATCTAAATGTGGATAATTAACTATACAAAAGCTAAAATCGTCTTTTTATCTTCGGTTTTCTCGCGAATAGAATTGTTGTTGATAGTAATATGAAGATCCAAAAATGATGTACTAAAATTTCAAGAGTTCATTTCATTTAATTGTAGTTCATGGGGATAAATGTCAGGCATCATTTGATCAAAATAAGGATGATCTCAATTAAAAATATCATCAAGGTATCTGTAGGTATTATCAAATGCGGCTATAACATCTTGTTGTTTATCTTCAGAGAGACTCAACATAAAGTCTCTTTCATAGCAGTGCAAAAAGCCCCCAACAAATCGACGACCAGGGGTGCACAATTAGTACCCACAGGAATTCCTATGATCTGTTAAATATGGTATTACCAAACCTGACATAAATGTTGTCTCTAAGAAAAGAGAGTGCTCTACAAACTTCGTCACAGGTCCACAAAATATAATGTTTAACAATACCGTTAGTAAAAATAGCTTTGTTAGAATTTCTTGCTAGAAAGGTAACCTTTTCCGTGCAAAAGTTTACTGAATAAGGGAAATTAGTTTATCATTAATTAATTTATTTGGCAAAGTTGTATTAAGTGTAGAAAAATCGTATGTTCTGACAGCTGAAGCTTGATAGTTCTTACTTTTAAATCTATCCAATATTTCACCAGAATTTTTTTTATAGACCAAAAGATATGTTTGTCTTGTGTTTTCATATACTTTATCACAATATTTAATTGCATAATTTAATGGTTTTAATGACAGTCAAACAAGACTTCAATAGAATAGGAAATTTACCTGTAGTGCAAGATGTTGAGTACGCAATGAAACTGGCTTTGTAAGGTTTCTTTATGTAATTTAGGACTCAGGAAGTTTGAGTTCTTTTTCATTAATTTGGATTTTAAGATTGGAAATATTAGTGATATGATTGTTGACAATTTCTTTTTCGGAGGCAGAAGTTTTAGAATACGCATTAGTACTATTTAGTTCCTTAAGCAAAACGTTAATGTAATGTTGATTCTTTAAACAATCATAATATTTTAGCCACCTAGTCTGCTGGCACCAAAACAAATTTTGAATAAAAATCTAGAATATCCTTTTTCAGATGTCTTAAAGTAAGTCTTGGTTAAGGTGGCAGAAGATGTTTATGTCCACGATAAAAATTAATAAGTGAATCAATTATTTTAAACATGTTACGTTTCCATGTAACTAGAGCATTACTATCCGCATTTTCACGGCGACACCATTTGACCGAAAAATCCTCTATAGATTCAGCAATCTGACTACGACAAGCATTAACATCAATCTCAGAAGGAATTCTGTATTTATGTCCTTTCAAGAATAATTTACGAATTATTTTGTCTGCAATTATATCAACATTACCAGTGTTTATATGGCCAACATCTGATTTACAGAATTTAGATACATTGCAGTCTCAATTGGTTTGAGTATTAGACGGAATATCTAAGTCAGAGACCACTTTGTTGTAATTAAATAATATGATATTTCTAACAGGTTCCATATATTTATAGCAAAAAATTAGTATCTCGGAGTTTTTGAAGTATAAAGAAACTGAATCAGTGACACGTTTATTGCAAAAAGACTTGGTAAATCGATGAAATCGACACCTTTATTAAAAAGTTACTTTGCCTGCACAATTTTGTTGCTTTGGACGTTCTCATTGGATTCTTTTTTCCCTTATTGTGATGTAATAATACAAGAATAAATCAATATTTTGCTTAAGTTTTTCTGTCTGTATTTAACTAAAAAGTAATTATTATTTTACTATGTGGCCATTTGATAATGTACCCCGGTATTTGAAAGCATAACTTGTTTGATTTTCTTTGTTTCTTTATTCAAGACAAATCCGGGACTGAGATACAGCTTGAAATGGGCTCCGAAGAGTTTGTTCCTGAAGGAGAAAGTAAGTTCCTGTGGCGAAAATAAATGCTTCTTTCTGTAAAATTTTTTTTATTGTTGATAATTATTTGATATTAAAATAATTGCCTCTGCTACATCATGTACTAAAACTGTATCCTGATAAAAAAAACTTGGCATATACATTATTGACACTTTAAGGATACGATAAAACATTTTTACTTTCTAATTCATTTTGTTGACAAAATGACATTAATTGTTTACAATATCGATTATCATCTATTCATATCTCTTCGATCTGATTGAAAAATTACCCTGACCATAACTGTATATTGATCATTTCAGCTGATATGAACATTACTATTCTTGTGACAGCTTTGTATGACTTTAATGCAAGATTAAATGATGAAATATCTTTCAAAGCCGGAGACGTTTTCGTTACTTTAAGGCGGAGTCTTAAGTATTTGCATTTTTTAATTTTATAAACTGAAATGATTAGAAGAAATATATATATATATATATATATATATATATATATATATATATATATATATATATATATATATATTGATAATTCCATTTTGCGCTCGTTTATTATACTTTTCAAACAAAATATTTCTGTTAACAATTCATATTTCTACTGTACTGTGCATCAATCGAATGTTCCACTGATTAATTTTGTGCTAAGGGAGCGTAGCATATGTCATAAAGCATAAAAGTTGAATTGAAACTCATAAAGGCTAATTAATACATTATATAAAGAAACGTTTTTCATTTATACGTACCGTGGTCCATTTTAATCTGCATATCTCGTCCTCATTTAAGTGACAACAATACATGGATAAAAGCAACACACCAGAGATCAGGAGAGAAAGGGTTCATACCGAGAAATTATGTTGTTACAGATTTCAAAAAATATTACTTAAAAGAGTAAGTGACACTGATCTTGAAACAGATAAGAATTATTAATTAATTTGTTTTTGATTTGAATATCGACTACTACGACTGAAGATATAAACAGGTTCCTTACATTGTGTAATATGAACTAAAGCTGGCCTTTTAACTTGGTAATGTATTCGCGAATTAAAACATCAAAAAATAATTTATCTTTGAATGTTCTTAAAAACATTTGAAAAAAGACGGGAAAACCAATTCCGTGTTTAAATGATCTGCATTTAGTTATTCGTATATGCTTTTTGTTTCACTTAGGAGGAAGATAGTAAAAAGATCATTGTGCCTCAAAATCTTACTCGTCTTTGTAAACACATAAACCTTATCATAAGATATTTTTCTGATGGTTACAATACGTCTGATTCACAAAGTCATTTTGAATTTTAATTGTATTCTGTGATGGAAGTCATCCTTTTGAAGAACTCTACTATTCACATTGTAAATCATCTGCAAAACAAAATGTCCGAGTCGATCCTTTTGTATATTTAGGATCATCTACTAAATTAAATCTTTCAAAAGGTATATCTCTATTTATCAGTAATAAAACCATTGAATTATGTCTACCTTAAGATTTTAATGTGTATAATTAGAATATGTACCGGCTATTTGTTGAAATGTGATAATCATTTTATAGAGATAAAATAGGAAGTATTTGATTAAAGGGAAAGTTAACATCTAGGTTCAGAGGAGTACCATGTACTGTTCGCATCAATTTGATTTTGGCATCCTTGAAAATAGGTCGGCATCAAATCTGTCTCATATCAACACTTTATTAAACCTGCTATTAGAAGTGCACAATTTCTATCCGTATATGATGGTTATTACGTGGTCGCAAACAGCCTTTCAAAACAAAAAAAATAATTCTTAAATGATAAGAAAGCTTCTCGAAATATTAACCTTAATTTTGTGTTTGGATTAAAATTATGACGTCGAAGGATCAATTAATTTTTTAAGACGACCACAAAAACTAATTATTATCAAAATGTAAATTACAAACAGTAAAATCTCAATATCAATTGTAGTGTGTTTGATTTTCAAGAAGAAATCTTGAATTAACAGCAAATTTATATTAGAAGCATCAATTACATCATAATGAAACCGAACGACTTTTATGGGGGCACTCTAACTAAAATATCTCAGTTACAGATAAATTGCCTACATAAAAAAGAAAAAAAAAATCTAAATGTTATGTCTTTTTTAATTTACTAGTTGGTGGCATGACTTGAACAAAAAAGAAACAGTTAGTCAGCTGTCGACACCTCATTTTGGACCAGGAGCTTTTATCATAAGAACCGCATCCGGTAAATAATAAGTTAAAGAATAATAACATTACATCCATGTTGTTATATAAATTAAGCTTTTTTATTTCTTCGGAAGGGAGCAAAAGCGACATAGAAATTCACAGCTGTCGCATTCCTATTCTTCATTTACAAAATAAAACATTTTTTTTAATATAAAATTGACATGATAAAAATGCACGATTCTAAGACTGAACACCTTCGACACCGAAGTTAATAAAAAAAAGAATAGTGAAGTAGTCATGGACTTTCCAGGCCTTAGGTTTACAAAAACACAAGTTTATCTCGATATATTTATTCTATTTTAGATAAAATGTCACTGGCATTATCCATTAGAGAGTCAGAGATGGGAGAAAATACAGTTAAAATCAAACATTACAGAATATTTTGGTCAAACGACGGGAGATTTCGTCTTTCAACAGAAGATCGTCTGTTTGCCGATATGACTGCGCTGATTAAATACTATCAAGGTAAGGTCTTTGCCTTGGTCGTTTCTTTGAATATGGGCGATCATATAGCGTATATATATACGTTGTAATATATATATTTGGTCAAGATTTGTGGATATTATATAACTGAATAATCGTTTTGATTTTTACGCATACAGTTATGTTCACGAGAAGAGACAAATGCCTTCCATATGCCTTCCTCTATCCATTTTAAGATTTTGCAGATTCTGTAGTAGTTATGTTTTGATATACGATATTGAAATGGTGATAAGCTGAATGTATTGTTTAAGTTACTTTTAACTGAAGTCTTATTTTATAGAAATCAACCCAGCACGGAGACCATAACATTGAACTTAACATTTGTCATTCTTTTTTTTTTAAATTACAGGAAAAATAATTATACTTCATAAGTATGGACTTCAAATATATCACCCGAAACGAACGTATTTCTTAAAAAGTATACGTGCTGTACATGATAGTTACTTTTCATACACACGAACTTTAAAATAACCAATCTAATTTTAGATAATTCGATTAATGGCTTGTGCCTAGGAGAACAAATTGCCAAAACGATTCCCGACGTGCCTTTCAGAGATCTAGAATCACACGCAAAATTGGTGGCAATCCGTCAAAATGTGGGTCCAAATTTAAGCACGGGTACGTTTCAAAGCCTTTCTTAAATGTATCTTAAGATATCTGAAACTTATATGCTTTTATTTCTGTCTTCTTTCAATCCATATTATAATAATTATAATAATATTGCTTCAATATTTATATAAGAATGAGTCTTACTTGAAATTACATACAAATTCTTATTATTTACGTTACCGCTTAGTAATAGATATAAATGCCAGTTAGCAATTAATACATGGAAACGTACCTTAGAGATCTTTGCTTTGTTAGCACAAGCTTAGAGATATTTGCTATGATAGTACATAAAGCAGATTCATAAACGGCAAGAAATATAAATCTTTAGAATTTTTTACCGCGGACACTTTTATATAATACCAGACTATCTTAATCATGATAACTTGCTATTTCTGTTTATAATTATTTTGTCAATGGACCCGATTTTTATCAATAAATCCCTTCAATTTACAGCTAAAAATAAATTCGGAACGTAGTATAAGTTCTAGTAGAAAAGATATCAAAATAATTAGTCCGGCAAATGGACTGCAAAAATAATAATACTGATCAGAGACTTACAGATTAAATACAGCTAGAAGAGAACTTACGAGTATGTAAGGAAAACTAATGTGTAGCCTCCCTTCGCCATATGCGTGTATTTGATTTATCTCCCTTTATTGTATCATGGTATACCATTTGCCGCGAAACATGTCAAGGATATTTTGAAAAATAAAGTCGATGAAAGTTTTTGTTTTGGCTTATTTACACAAATAGATTAATGTATTTCTTAGAATCATTAGTTGTTGTAATTTGTAGAAAATGGGTATCATAATAGGTGAAAAAGAAAATGTACATACTTTGATTTTCTATTCCATTATCATGTTTTATTACTGACTGTAATAGTGACACAAACAGAACAATGTTGCACTTATGTCATGTCAAATTTAAGTTGTGTTAGCCTTGTTTGTATTGGAATTACTTTCCTTACCAGGTAGGCATTAGTCAAAGCTTTTTTTAAAATTTAATATCTGGTCCTTCTCTCATGGCCAGTGCATACGATAAGTATAATTTCGCAATTTAAATGATTGACAAAACATCGGGAATAATTTACAGCTATACTTAATCTAAATAGACATTGACCTGTGTTTAGGAATGATTTGGTAAGGAATCTGTAAAAGCGCATTTTCTTGCGCGAAATTCCTCAATTTATGCATTTCAGCAACATTTGTACATGTATTTTATTCGCAGGTGTATGGAGAAACCGAGGTGTTACAATTAAACAATATAGTCAGTTGGAGATTAAAGACTTCTTGACAGAGATAGATATATTGAAGCGATTAAAGCATGATAAAATTATAAATTTGCTAGCCGTGATCACAAAAGAGAAACCGTTCCTGATGGTTTTTGACATGATAACAATAGGTACACTCACTGATTATCTCAGAAAAGATATGGGAAAGACCATACAACACGATCAACTTCTTGATATGGCAATTCAGGTCGATCAACTTTAATTGTTATGATATGAAGTTCTCTCATTATTACTATTAAACTTGTTCATTATTAAGACTATTATTATCATCATAATAATTATTGTATTCAATTTTACACAACAGTAATTATAATAATAAAGTAAATAAATAAAAAAACTTAAAGCAATGTTCCACAATCACTCCAAAATGACATCATCTCAGAATACAAGTTACCATGTTTCAACAAGTTACAACAAATATACTAAAGAAATAATATCTAATATGTGCATTTATGTGTCAGCCTTGCCTTTTTTTGGCAAAGCTTAGCTTTCTTTTACATATTTATTTATGTTTACAAGGAAAACCATTTTTGGAACATAATCTTTCGTTCTTACTTCCCTAGATTTCAAAAGGTATGGATTATTTGTGCAATAAACAAATTGTCCATAGAGATCTTAGGACAGGACATATACTTGTCGGGCATGGAAATAAGCTCAAAATTGCCGGATTTGGAAGGGCAAAAAGGCTTCAGAATGATTGTTATGTTTCACACGGTAGGTTCAATATTTCTATTTTAATAAGGTCCGACGGTGATCATGTTAAAGTATATACGCTTGCATCATTTTACTCATTTTTCTCTGGTTATATTAATATCTATTTCCTATTGTGTGAATGGTAATATGTATTGTTCCAAACGTTTTTATTACTGCTATAATGATATCTATTAATGAAAACATGAAATGTATCGTATATTACAGACACAGAACTGCTTGCAATTAAGTGGACTGCACCGGAAGTGTTTAATGAATGTGAATTCACAACTCATTCAGATGTGTGGGCCTTTGGTGTGTTACTTTATGAGATGATTACTTTTGGAAAGATACCTTACCCAGGTTTGCAAGTCGATCTTTTTAAGCATTATTGAAAATGAAACAAATAAAGGTTATTTAAAGAAAAGTTGAAATAGTCGCAAGATGTTCATTGAGGAAAGGGGTATATGCAAGAAACTAGAGTCTGTATTGCTTCAAGTAATAATAATTTTGTTTCCCGCTCTTGGCTTATCCGTTGTTTGTATATGTTTTTCTTTTCTTGATTAATGGCTTTAGTTGATTGTGCTTCAGGAATTAACTTCAGTAAATATTGTAACATATATTCTCTGTGTTGTGAAAAAGAAAACCTAACAACATGACTTCTCACCATAATTATTTGCCTTATCAATCCCAACTTTGCTGTTAAGATCACATTTCAACTTTAGTCATTTGTCTAAAATATATTTGCTGAAACAATACGACAGGGATAAGCAATGTTTACTCTAAATATCAGAGTATTAAATTACGAAAATCGCCAAAAACAGAAATAATATAATTGTAAAGCCATCTTTGCAGAATTATCCGGGTAAAGTGGATGTTTCTTCTAAAGGTTTCTAATATTTAGCACAAACAAATTGTGCAGATAATTCTAAATTCACAATTTCATATTATAACAAAAAAATACATATTTTTGACACAGGTATGCGGTATCATTTTTTCAGGTATGAGCAATGACGAAACAAAAAATAAAGTTATAAAAGGATATAGGATGAAAATGCCTGATGATGGACCTATTCTTTGTCCACGAGAATTATATGACATCATGTTGCATTGCTGGGACAAAGTTCCTACAAAAAGACCCACATTCTTAAACATTTTAGTTTTGCTCAACAATTATGCTAGTCCAGATAAAAAACCGCATCTTTCTGAAACAGAAACAAAGACCAGAGACAGAGCAAAAGTAAAGCCTAAAACAGAGAAAGATACTAAAAATGCGTGCGTGTGCATGTAAAAAAGCATAACACATAGACCGAATTTCTTTCATGTTTAGCCAGTTTTGTAAGCAGTAAAGATATACAATCTCTTTTTTTAAGTATTGTTTAATAGATAAATTAAAAAGACGAGGATACTTTTTTATCTTTTAAATGATATTGTACGGAAGAAATGCTAAGATTTTGTTTTTATGCCCCCACAAAGTGGGAGCATATAGCATTGCACTTGTCCGTCCGTCCGTACGTCTGTCCGTCCGTCCGTCCGTCCGTCTGTCTGTCCGTCCGTCCGTCCGTCCGTCTGTCCGCACGTCCCGAAATCTTGTGAACGCAACTCCGCGCTTAAACCGGATGGCAGATTTTGCTTTAACTTCCAGGGATGAACAACCTTAATGTGTAGATGGCAGTAAAGGAAGGAATTTTTGCTGCGACCAAATTAAAAAAAATTATGGCCCTTTGTTGATTTTTTCACTATATACTAGGTAGAAATTTTGTGAATGCAACTCCTCTTAAACCAGATGGCAGATTTTGCTTAAACTTCCAGGTATGAACAACCTTAATGTGTAAATGGCAGTAAAGGAAGGAATTTTTGTTTCGACCAAATTTAAAAGAATTATGGCCCTTTGTTGATTTTTAGTTTTCAACTTGTGACACATGTAGTCCAAAAAATATATTTGACCTAGAGTCATAAGATTGACAGAACAGTGGCGTGTGGGGGCATCCGTGTCCTATGGACACATTTTTAGTTCATTTATATGTTGATGATGATGTAAATGTAAAGTTGGAGGATATCTATAGAAAAAAAAATGTTTGATATCCGATTTAAACCATAAAAGTAGAAAGAAAGACGTTTAATGTTTTTGTTTTGAATCAAAAATGAGAAATCCAACACAAATGATATCACGCATACAAAGTTTCATAATTCCGTGAATGCTTCATTTAAATGCCCTTACCTTAAAGTAACAATATGTATTGCTTTAATTTTTCGCTCTGATCCCCCCAAACAAAAGCCGTTCAGGACAAGATTCTTGATGCTTTCTTGGTAATTTGGTTGTATGGCTTAAAATTGTCTTCTCAACTGAAGGAATCAATAATCCTAGTTGAATTTCCTAAAGGCTTATTTTGTCCGTTTTTTGACAGCTATTAACAAAATACATACCAGAAGTGTTATCTAATTATTACCCATACGTTATTAAATAATCAAAACAACGTTTCCAACCAGTTTCCAGGGCTTTTTGACTGAAACAGTAGCCTCTAGAGTATGAACACGTTTTTTCCATATTTTGGCGATGTGACCTAGTTTTTGACTCTAAGTGATCCATAATTAAACGTGAGCGAGATTATTAACAAATGTTTTGTCTAATTTCCTGGGTATTTAAACAGGAACAATTAACCCCAGATAAGACATTTTCAAGCTAGCGCTAGAAAAATCTCAACAACCTTTCTGACACAATTTTCAGGATATTTGGACGTAAACAATAGCCACTAGAGTGATAACAAGATTTTTCAATTTTCATTTCCTTAGATCTAGTTTTTCATCCAAGATGACATACATGTACATAGTTAAATACATTTAATATCATTGTGTATTGTAATTGAGTATATTTAGGGATTGATTATATTGTTTGCATTTATTTAAAAACTGTTTTGAGAGCTGTTTTTTGTGATTTGCCAGTTTCAAAACAATACATGTGCATGACATTTTCAGTTTTATACAGAATATATGAAATGTTAAATAAGAAAACAAGAATCAGCAAGCAGTGCTTGTCATTCTAATGTGAATATTTCCTAAACAAATTGGTTTACAAAACGGGTCATGTTGACATATTTGATGTTTGAAAACACGACAAAAAACTTATTATTTGTATTTTTTGCCCAGAAATTGTACATACAGTGTAATCGATGGAATTGCTTTCAGAGATCTTCCTAGCAGGAAAATGATTTTCATATATATACTTATAAATATGCATTGCTCATGTTATCGTGTTATTGTCTTGCTCGGTAATAAAAAGAAATAATAATTTTTTTTTTCGAAATGTGTTTGTCGACTTTCATGCCAACAGAGTAACAATAATATTATACTTATGTATTCTTAAAATTATCAAGCACGAACATTTTTTTTCAAATTACATCTTGATTTGTTATTCACTACGTGTCTTACAAGAATACCGTCGTATAAACTTTTCTTTATTTTTTTCATGTCTAGCTTAATCATCAACTACTGTATGAAAATTATCAATTCACTTACATTCAATGATATAGAGTGCTGACGTTTATATCAATTACAACATTTTTGCGCAAAGATGTCAGGGTTTTTCTTCGGACAAAAATGTAATAGTTTTACTTATGAGCATTTTTCGTTATATGAGTATTCCATGTAACTTCAGCAGAACTTTCTAAATAATTAAAACGCCGAAAATTTGTCACCAAAGACTGTCCTTAAATACTAAATCCAACCTCAGCATTGCTTTATTTGTTTCCATAAAAAATCTTTAAAACGTATGAAAATCGAATTCATCTTTTATGATCATAACAGGACCGTATAGTTTGTTATTTACAGTCGATGGAAACTTAAGACATCGCCCCGAATTATCAAAGGAACATACGTGTCGTCTATGTGATAAAAGATATCGTGCGAAAGCAACATATCTAAGCAAACACTATCGGTATGTCGCACTTTGAATTTGGCAAAAAAGCCAGGAATAATCGAGCTGTTAGCACAATAAGACGTATAAAACTCTAAATTAAAGTAAAACTAAATCCACATTTAAAAAAGAATAATCTTCTTAAATATATGAAAATATATCTATAAATGGTTGAAGTTAACATGTAGTACATTAAATGACTCGAGAAAGGTATGTAGAAAGGTAGTTCTTATACAAAAGTACAAGTTTAAACACCAGGGAAGGTAAATAGAAATAAAGATTCGTTACTAAAGAAAAAGCACACTTATCATTTTTTTGAGATCAAAACCACACATATTGTATTGATAAGCATACCAAACTTTAAATTTTAGATAGGTTAAATGGTTCCCAAAGACTGGCATTAGTATTGGATCAGTTAGATAGGAAGTTGGACAAATCAAAATAAAAAAGCTAGGAAATAGTTTCCAATCATCAGAAGCTAACGCATCGGGTAAAAATATTTTCCTCGGGATTATATTTTACTATCACTCACAAACCTATGTGTTATTTATAAACAGAGCTGGTGCTAGGTATCAGCGCATAGCTCGCATGATGCGCGATCATTTATTTAAATTAAACTGTCCAAAGATCAAAGACTTCTATAAGATTACTACAATGTCATACTGGTATGATAATACTTCAATATCAACATGCTATGGTAACTCCTTATTTCGTTTCGATACAGAAGTACTAGTATATTCACTGACCACTGAATTTTGACCTCTATGTGTGACCTTGACACTGGTCACTGGGACATGACTTGTGCGCGACACTCCGCCTTAACATTGTTAACAGTTGTGCAAATTTATATGCAAATTCCCTTTTGAATGTAGGTTTGCTCTAGACACGTTCTTTCCAAGTTATTTCAAGTGTACATTGTTCTTTGACCTAGGGACCTTGATAATGTGTGGAGCAACACATCTCATAGTGATACACATTTCTATAAAGTATTACAAAAAATCTTCGACGCATATAGGCGATATGCTCTAGACAAAATTTTGATTTAAATTATATTTAGTGACCTTAACCTTGCATAAATTGAATCTAATAAGTGACAGCCAAAGAGACGAAAATGCCCATTTGTGGTACAATCCCGAAATAAATGAGGAGTAAATAGAAGAAAAAAAACTAAACTAAATAAAATTTCCATAGACTTAAAAAAAAAATTCATCCATGCATGGAGATATTCTCCAAACATAATCATCATCTTAGGTAACTTTAACGTTGCTTATATTGACCTTCGAATTACACGTGCCATAACCATATTCATGATAATGACCATTTGTGTTGTAATCCACAAATAAATGAAAACTTAATGGTTTCTATACACATCTTCATATTTTTCATCTTTCAAAACTTTGAAGTTTATGTTTGACATTGACCTTGGTCGCAGGGAGCTGAATTTCGCACGCGACATCCCGCCTCACAATTGGGAACATTTATATAAAGTTATATTGATATCTACCTATGCATGTAGAAATTATGCCCTGGACAAGCATTTTTCATTGATTTTTTTTATCTTTGACCTTGTTCATATGAGCGACACCGCTTTATAGTGCTAAGCCTTTCTATGAATGACCATTAAAAATCCTCAATGCGTATAGGAGATATCTTCCGGAAAAAATCGGCGTTCCCATAATACGTCACGTTTTTAAACGGGCGTTTAAATTGAGTAAGGAATCCCATCATATGCGTTGTTTATAATAATAAAAAAATAGGAACTTACAGTTAACTGCATGCAAATTGTCGTTGCTGTAGTAAAATCCACAATTCATGCGAATGTTTTTTAATGAGTTACTATACGAAATCAAAACAAGTCAGTTCTATTAAAGTCGAAAATTTTACAATTTAAATTTACACATCACTTATAAAAATGATACATATAAAACATTTGAAAGTTCATATACCATTTCCGCTTTTAATTATTAATGCTTTGTCAAGTGCGAATGTGTTACAGTTACGCACGCTTTTCTTGCAATAAGGCATTTTATCTGACCTAGCTATGCAGTACCATTGTTTACAAAGCGTTTGGTATTTACAGTCAATATTTTTACCAATCTCTCAATCAATTGATAGATGTTACATACTTCGAACACGATCACGCTTACATTAATCGATCGTACCATTATGATATAATTGGTCGTGCAAGTTATTTCATTTTGCATTTTATTGCAATATAGAGGAATGAAAGTGGCGTAGTAGTTAGTATGTTCAGATTATGAAGAATTTACGTTAGGAAAATAGTTTTTCGAGTTTAAATCTGCAACTGTGCAATATTTTGAGTGTGTTTCTCAATCGTTTTTACAGTCATAAAACATTTTCATATTTTCTTTTATAAATCCTGTCATTTAATAGTTTGTACAATTTAAAGTTAAATTTATAACGGTTTAGTAAAACTGATTGTATTTGAGCCGCGTCACGACAAAAGCAACATAATGGGTTTGCGACCAGCATGAATCCATACGTAACAAACCCTTTAACAAGTAGAGAAGCTTATAGCGAACAGTATGGATCCTGATCAGACTGCACGGATGCGCAGGCTGGTATGGATTCATGCTGGTCGCAAACGCACTATGTTTGTTTTGTCGTGACGCGGCTCATTTCACAGTCATTGAACAAATTGAATACATGTAGTACTGTCAATATAAAATGATTTAAAACTCTGAATTCAACTTGCTACATTTTTTAACAATTTCGGCTCATTTGTATATTTATGTATTTAAATTTCTTCCATTCCTCATTTATCACTCTAATAACGACTGTGTTTCCTCTAACTTAACCTGTTAAAGGCGAATGTGTGTAATGCTAGATGTTCTCAAATAGTATTGTGTGAAATAAACTCACGAGGAACTAAAATCCAGTTCGTAGAAAAAAAAGAAAAAACATATAAGAAAAGAAAAAGTGCCATTTCCAGGAATTGAACCAGGGTCTAAACACACACGAAAGCAGCACTCAATTACTACGCTATTTCGCTGGAGCGATAAAAAAGGTGTAATTGTTAAGGTTGATAAAGATTAAGGCGAAACCTAGTATGCTTTTATATAAGAATTATCGACACCCCTTTTTGTCAATATTGATGGAACAGATAATAAAATGAATAGCAAATTCGAGCTAGTTCAATGTATTTGCCGCGTTGCACTTTATCAGATTGTTAATCATGAATGTATTTAATAACTTGAGCTTTGTATGATTAAACTGTTTTTTTTGTCATAAGTAAAACTTAATTTTTGCTGAGGGGTTTGCATTTTTCATTTTTGCAAACGAAAATAGATTTAATGTCTGTGACAGTTTTGCATCTGTTGATGTGTTTGTTATTATTGTTGTTGACATAAAAGTGTCTTAGTGCACATAAATGAAGGACACTAATAAATAATAATTAAAAACAACAAAAACATTAACAACAACAACAACAACAATACCAACATCAACAACAACAACAAAACAACAACCACAAAAAATTATCGAACTACAGTTAAAGTTCTTCACCCTTTATACATATATATATATATAAGCATAAGCATTTTCACTTTCTATGTTTCCCGAGAGAGAGTGCTGTTCATGACAAACAAGCTACTTTGCAGATAGAATGCAAATCCACATACATGGGTTTAATGATTCTGTCTCTCTTTATATTGCTGCTTCCAAATGTTAACCTTTTTGCATTATTGTGTAATATATACATGTAATTTAATTTGTTAATTGAATACGCTGTTGAGTTTGTTGTGTGTGTTAAGAAAATTGTTATACAAAGACTTGCAAATATTCTAATATTTAACATGAGATCACAATTTCGGTTGCTCGTAACATTCCTGACATTACATGCGTCTTGACATTCTGACCTGCGTTTTCTTATATAGAAATTTTAGAAAAATAATATGTAGTAATGAAATTAAATTTTCACTCGATACCAGAAACACTTTTGCCAAGAAAATTTTGGACTTGTGAGAGGCTAAAAATGGCCCCAGATCGATCAAAATGTAACGTGTAACCAACGCTGGAAAGCATCTGACTCTATCTCAATCCATTGAGAAGTTGCAGCACTTTGAAATCAATTTTGATGGAAAAAATCAATGCAAAATAGTGATTTTTGGCAATTTTGAGATGTCCCCTCGTTGCCATGGTAACAGGAAATTTAAGCCTGAGTATGTTGTTACAAATGCAATTGTCCAGATAACATTTGTGCTAATTTTGATTAGTATTGAAGCAGTTTTTATAGTTTTATAGCAATTTGAACTTGTAACGGGAGACTTTTCACTGAAAACCGCCATTTTTCAAAAAATGCTCATGAAGTAATGAGTTAAGAATTTTATACGTTGTTCATATTTT